GCTCTGCATGGGGGGGAAATCCAGACATTTACAAATTCCCCCTGGACGCTATTTTTAATTCAGAAAAGCCGGGAGAATCCGGATGAATGGTAACCCTAGAATACATCCCAGAATGATCTTCGCTTTTTTTGTAACAGTGTTACACTGTTCACTCATATTTAGCTTGTGATCCGCTATGACCCCCAGATCTCTTTCTGCCGTACTCCTTCCTAGGCAGTCATTTCCCATTTTGTACGTGTGCAACTGATTGTTCCTTCCTAAGTGGACTATTTTGCATTTGCCCTTATTGAATTTCATCCCGTTTACTTCAGATCATTTCTCCAGTTTGCCCAGATCATTTTGAATTTTAATCCTATCCTCCTAAGCACTTGCAACCCCTCCCAGCTTAGTATCATCCACAAACCTTGTAAGTGTACGCTGTATGCCATTATCTAAATACTGATGAAGATATTGAAGAGAACCAGACCCAGAACTGATCCCTGCGGGACCCCACTCAGTATGCCCTTCCAGCTTGACTGTGAACCATTGATAACTACTCTTGGGGAACAGTTTTCCAACCAGTTATGCACCCACCTTGTAGTAGCTCCATCTAGGTTGTATTTCCCTAGTTTGTTTATGAGGAGGTCATGTGAGACTGTATCAAAAGCCTTACTACAGTCAAGATATACCACAGCTACCACTTCCCCCATATCCAGAAGGCTTGTTACCCTGTCAAAGAAAGCTATTAGGTTGGTTTGACATGATTTGTTCTTGACAAATCCATGCTGTTACTTATCACCTTATTGTCTTCTAGGTGCTTGCAAATTGATTGCTTAATTATTTACTCCATTATCTTTCCGGGCACTGAAGTTAAGATGACTGGTCTGTAATTCTCCAGCTTGTCCTAGTTCCCTTTTTATAGATGGGCACTATATTTGCCCTTTTCCAGTCTTCTGGAATCTCTCCCATCTTCTATGACTTTTCAAAGATAATCGCTAATGGCTGAGATATCTCCTCTGTCAGCTCCTTGAGCATTCTAGGATGTATTTCATCAGGCCCTGGTGGCTTTAAGACATCTAACTTGTCTAAGGCCTAGTCTTCACTTACCGGCTGGTCCGGCGGCACGCCATCGATGTTCTGGGATCGATCCTGGAAGTGCTCACAGTCGGCGCCGGTACTCCAGCTCGCCGAGAGGAGTACGCGGCGTCGATGGGGGGAGACTTCCGGCCGCGTCTGGACCGCGGTAAGTTCGGACTAAGGTACTTCGAATTCAGCTACGTTATTAACGTAGCTGAATTTGCGTACCTTAGTCCGAAGTCCGGACTAAGTGGGGACCAGGCCTCAGTCATTTTTAACTTGTTCTTTTCCTATTTTAGCCTCTGATCCTACCTCATTTTCACTGGCATTCACTGTGTTAGACATCCAATCGCTCCTAACCTTTTTGGTGAAAACTGAAACAAAAGAGTCATTTAGCACTTCTGCCATTTCCTGTTATTGTTTTCTACCCCTCATTAAATAACAAGTCTACCCTGTCCTTGGTTTTCCTCTTACATCTAATGTATTTGTAGAACATTTCCTTGTTACCCTTTATGTCTCTAGCTAGTTTAATCTTGTTTTGTGTCTTGGCCTTTCTAATTTTGTCCCTACATACTTGTGTTGTTTGTTTATATTTATCCTTTGTAATTTGACCTAGTTTCCACGTTTTTGTATGACTCTTTTTTGAGTTTCAGATCATTGAAGGTTTCCTGGTTAAGCCAGGGTAGTCTCTTAACCATACTTCCTAGCTTTAAATTAATGGAGATATCCTATCGCCTAGAACTGGAAGGGACCTTGAAAGATCATGGAGTCCAGCCCCCTGCCTTCACTAGCAGGACCAAGTACTGATTTTGCCCTAGATCCCCAAGTGGCCCCTTCAGGGATTGAACTAGCAACCCTGGGTTTAGCAGGCCAATGCTTAAACCACTGAGCTATCCAGTATATGCCTAACTAAGCATAGGAATAGTCCAACTGGCTTAAACACCTTGACTTTAATAGGACTACTCACATGTTTAATGTTAAGTTTTTGCTGAATCGGGGCCGGAACCCTCCTTTTAGAAGGGTGCCAGTGTAATAAATTGTGGCTGTGCATATCCAGGCAATAGGGTAGTTAGTGTGAAGCAAACCAAGACCTAATGAAGTCCATGGGCGTTTTGTCATTGACTTAAATGGACCAGGCTCTACAGCATAAATTCCTTTATCTCGTGCTCAAGCCCTCTCTATGAGCTCAAGTATCAGGGGGTGGCCGTGTTAGTCTGTATCTACAAAACCAACAAGGAGTCTGGTGGCACCTTAAAGACTAACATCCGAAGAAGTGAGGTTTTAACTAACGAAAGCTTATGCCCAAATAAATCTGTTAGTCTTTAAGGTGCCACCAGACTCCTTGTTGTCTCTATGAGCTGCCACTTTGTATCAGGCTGTTGCAGTGGCTAGGGCTGGCCACTAGAGGGAGAAATGATCTCAGGCCCTGAGCCTGTGCCTTGGACCTGTGCATCAGCTGTCAGGGTTTGTGGTCTCTGCTTGGCTCACACCCCTTCCTGTTCTCCTTTGTCAGACAGGTCACCAAGGCCGAAGGGGTGTCTCTAGCTGCCAAGCACGGGTGCTTGTTTTACGAGGTCTCTGCCTGCCTGGAGTTCGAGGCTGTGCAGCACGTGTTCCATGAAGCGGCGCGGGAAGTGAGGAGGGAGATGGAGAGGAACCTGCAGGTCCGACCGCTGTTCATCACAGAGGAGAGGCCCTTCCTCCACCTTGCTGCCCCGACTGCCGTGGCCTCCAAGCATGGCCTGGCTAGCTGCACGCTCAACACTCTCTCCACGGTCAACTACAAAGAGATTCCCTCCGTGGCACAAGCCAAGCTGGTCACGGTGAAGTCGTCACGGGCTCAAAGCAAGAGGAAAGCTCCCACGTTGACCTTACTGAAGGGCTTTAAAATATTTTAAGCCTTGGCCCCTCCAAGGGATGGGAAAGGAGCAGCCACTGGATTTCCTGGCATCCCAAGGAACCTTCTCCAACTTCTGCAGTGGCATATTTGACAATCTCCATGGCAGCAGTGGCTTACAGACCATCTTCCGTGATTTATTGACACTGCACTTGGCCTTAGAACTACAGCAAAGCACTTTGGTAGGGATGCAGCGAACAGGCCAGGGATTGAGTGCAGAAGAGTCTGAAACTTTGTCATAACATCCTTCTAAATCACTGACTATTTGTCCAGTCCCTGTAGCTCAGTATTGACATGATATTTGCACATTAGTCCTAGCATTGGCACTGGGTGTTCGTAAAGCTATTTGTTATAACAGAAGCAGGACAGAGAGAGGGAGAGATGAAGCCTATGTTCTATTCGTCACGTCAGCGGGATGAGAGGCTGAACGTCCTCGCCCTGTGTGTAGGGTAAATAAACTTGACATTGTTCTCCCAAGAGGCCAGATCCTCTGCTTATACATGTGTATCACCACTTCTTGAAAAATCAGCTCCCATAAATGCGCACTAGCTGCTTAGACAAGGGGTGTGGCCCATGTAATAACTGAGTCCAGAGTATCTAAACGCAGTGATCATGTAGAGGGCACAAACGTAATGCCCAGTTTGGTACCCGGTAGTGGGAATATTTGGTGGAGCTGGTTGGAATATACGACTGCATCAGAACCAGGATAGTTTGTGGAGACGTATTGGTTTTCACCAAACTTTTGTCAGGAAGTTTTTAGACAGAGAGAGAGAGAGAAAGCGGCTGAGTGGCTCAGGCGTTCAGCTGGCCTGTGGGAGAGCAGGTGAGTTGTCAGTGCACTGTCCTGGGATGAGGGAGGCCGGGGTGAAAGTTCCTGCTTCTGGCTGATTCACAGCAGAGTTTTCTTCCCAGATCACTTTGACTCTGGCAGACCAGGGACATGAACCCAGGTCTCTCTCATCCCAGGGGCCTCTTTCTCTTTGCAACCTCGAAAGTTACCATGACGTGGAATTGATGTACTCCGGACAAGCTGTAGGATTTGGCTCATGTTGTCAGTGCTGAAGATCTGCAGGGTGAAGGCATAATGTCTGATGAATCCGGATCGAAGGTGGTCAGAGATACATGTCGAAGATAAGGTTGTTTGGGGTATCTTGACTCTGAATTTCCATACCTTCCAACTTTAGGGTTTTTGTAGTGTTTTTAAAAGGTTTCTGTAACTGAAAATTTCCTAGATTTCCAGTGTTTGTTAAAATGTCAGTGTTCTTCTAAGGTTCTGTCCCCTAAAATGACTAATATGTATTTACAGCCCTAACTGGATTGGTCTGCAAATCCAGAGTTTGTATCCTGTGCGACTCCCATTGAAATCAATGGAAAAACTCCCCTTCACTTCCATGGGAGCAGGAACAGGTCCATTGGTTAGAGATCTACAAATCCCATTTCAGGTAACTTGCTACAGCGCGTGTGCAGATGAAAGTCCTTATTGCTAGTATTGTGTTCAGCGAAAGCTAGCAAAATGTTGACACAAAGTGCTTCAAGGCCAATATGTTTCATTTAATGACCACAGAGCCCCCCCTAGTGGAATGTTAGCACACTGCAGCTGGTATGGACAACAGCAACTAGAATCCAGAAACGTACAAAGGGTGGAGTCTAGTCTATAAATGTATATTGCCCATCCAGTGACACATTGATTTAAATAATTCAAACAAAGCTGATGGCATGCATATCAAATCAAATCAGCAGTGTTTGCATTTTGCTGTTTAAGCAATAAGCAAGGTGAGGTTTTTAAATGAAATGAAAAAACATTGCAAATATAATTGCAGCAGAATAAACACTTCCAGGTATATAAAAACAATGCCTACGCACTGAAATAACTTGTACCAAAAATATATTTTGTAATTTTTTTTTACAATGCAATGTTCCTTTTCAAAGACTTTGCCAATGGAATACTCCTTTCTTGGGTGGATTCAAACAAAATTGTTTGTGTATAAGATTGATATATTTTCCATTTTTCTTAAATTATTTGTGGGTGTCTCCATTCCATGCTCTCGGTGGAGAATGCTCAACAACACTCAACCAAGGGCAAAATTCACAATGAACAGGCCATTTTCCTTAAGAAAGGTTATGTACTTTATTTTCCTTTTTGTACCTGGTTTGGGGACAGTAACTGCTCTGCTTCTGTATGGAGTTGCACTTCTCTGCAGAGTAAAGTCATGTATCTATAATTACTCAATTTCAATCAACTACTTTGGAAAATATTTTAATAAAGACAACTTTTGACGAAGCATCAGCACATCTGCTTAGCTTCAGCGTTTTCCCGATGAACCTTCGCAAAGTTTTTTAAAAGCACGCATTCCCTGGCTGACCGCAGGAAAATCCTCCCCCCCTTCCTTGTCTGGTTTGGCTCATATAATTGTTTTGCAGTGGAAGCGAGTGACAGCTGAGAGAGGGTGGGCAAAGCTGGCATGTAGGAGTAACCTTCGAACCAAATGACAGCAGCAGGTAAGGATCAGGCCATATTGGCATCAAAGCAGGTGGGACCAGACCAGACTATCTGAGTCAAGAGCGGCTCATGCCGAGGAATCTCCCCTGTATTTCTTTTTATTCCCCTTGATAAACCGTGCTTAACTTCCCAAGCTCCAGTCAGCATGAATTTAGATACACGACACTTGGTGAACTATTTGTCTGGGGTCTAGACTCGGATTGCGCTCGCTCTTACATGTCCTCCTCTGACTTGTCCGCATACAGGGCTGTAACGTTGCCATCCTTCCACTGAACCAAAACCTCCCCTGGGCTTTGTCCTTTCGGCAGCAAATCTTGTGTTAAAGGATTCAAGTTATTATCTTCCTTCAAATCCACAAAGGGTGGCTTGGCTTCTGGCTCAGCTGGCTTGGCAGTTTTGGCAGTTTGTTCATACATGAGGATAATCTTCCTATTTCTAATGGGGAGGGAGGGATACAAAAAGAAGCAAGAAGTCAAACCGCAGGCTCAGTGCAGGCTTTCGGGCGGCAGGTGTGAAACTGGTGTATGCGCGGCTTGGCACGGGGCGGACATTAGCTGCTGATGCTTAGAAACCCCAGAGCGTGTAAGTGGAGTGAAGTGATTTAGTACCCACAGCCGCCGTTTATCTTACTACAACGACTCCAACGAGAAAACATCGTACATCAAATTGTCTACATCGGGGGTGGGCAACCCCTGGCTCGCGCGCCACATGCAGCTCTTTTACAGTTAAAGTGCAGCTCGCAAAGCCCCCCCGCCCGTCCCTTCTCCATCGACCAGACTGGGGGGCGAGGGGAGCTCGGGGCTTCTGCCAGAGACAACTGGTGCCTGCTGAGAGTGGGGGGGCACAATGTAAAGCTTTGCCTCCCCCAATAGCTTGAGTCGTGTGCCCCCCGAGTGTGCCCCCCTTACCCTCAGCGGCCCCTCCCTACAGCTCCCAGGTGTCAGCTCCGCGGGGAAAGACAGCAGCAAAAGCAGTGGCTCTCCCTGCAGCCCCCAGCTGTTTGCCACTGCCTCTCCCCACAGCCGCAGCTCCCAGCTTGCTGGCTCCAGCAGCTGCTGTGCAGGGAGGGGGCCTGGCGGCACCATGTGACCGAGTGGGGCCAGCAAAACCTGGCAAAAATCGGGGGGGAGGCACACGACCCCACTTGTCCCCCCCCCGACATGTCACCTCTGCTTTCTGCCCAACGGGGAGGGGGGTTCTCAGGGCTTCATGCCCATGGGGCGTGCCTGCCAGGCTTCAGCAGGAGCGGAGCTGAAGTCCCGGGACTCCCTTCCCTGCAGGGCTGAAGCCCTGAGCCCCAGTAGACACCTCTTGTGGTGCTGAAACCCAGCAGGCAGGCCAGGGCTCCTGAACTTCTGAAGACTGGCGTAGGCAGCTCGGAGGATCAGTACGTTTGGCCACCCCTGGTCTAAATCAAATGCCTAACGCTTTGCTGCGGCTGTTTTTTTCTCTTAGATGAAGAGGAACTCTTCTTCTTATAGCCTGAGTGAGGTGCAAAGATTGTTGCTTTAGGAGAAGACTCATTCTCAGCTCTGTGGTACCCGGCCAATGTGTTTTAGTCCAGCAGAGTGGTGTAATACTTGTTATTCCAGCAGAACCTGGATTATGAGGGTTGACACATTCTCTGATGCTTGTATCTGACAATGATTCAATCATACTGTTGCTCTAGAAACCAAACGGCGTGAAAGTTTATTTTGAATAGGCGAGGCAAAGGGGCAGCTTTATCTATCTTCGGTACCTATTCAGCCCCCGTTTTCAGAGTATTTTTTTAAATGGATCTTTCTGCCTAGTAGCTCTGTGCGTTAGAGACATGCTATTATCTCCAGTTTATGTGTGGGGAAACTGAGGCACGGAAAGGCTAAGTGACTTACCCAAGGTCATACAAGAAGTTGGTGGTAGAGCAGAACAAGAAACTGAACTGACCACTAGGCCTTCCGTCCTGGTCTAAAGGAATGAGCACAGATCTGGGATTTCTTCCACTGTGGGAATGGGGCATTAAGATGCTAAACCTCTCTAGGAATCACTTACTTCATCCATAAAACAGGGATAACAATTGCCTGCCTTTGCACGGTACATCAGGAAACAGGTCAAAAGCATGATGGAAACGCAAAGTGTTAATTCTTATTAAACTAATATTTCAGATGTGCAAGTGATTTTTTTGGCACACAATCATAATAATTTCTCTGCTGACCACTCGGCAGCCATTGGATGGCAACAGCTTTCAGTCACTACAGATGTGCAGTGCATTCAAATTAGCAACCTAGTGCAGGGGTCGGCAACGTTCAGCACACGGCTCGCCAGGGTAAGCACCCTGGCGGGCCGGGCCAGTTTTATTTACCTGCCGCGTCAGCAGGTAAAT